GTCATCACATACAAAACTTTGAACTCGTTCAAAACAAAAATCTGTCAATTGAATTCAAACAACTCTTTATCTTTTTACATCCTGAAATTTTTCCTAAACGACAAGGTGTGTATTTTTATTGTAATACAATTGTCCAGTTATACATATGATAGTGAGATTTCAAACACTTTTAGCAAACTTTTGTTAAAGTTAAACCATCTTTATCAATGTGCAGAAGCTGAACTTTACCATGTTTTGTCTACTGAAGGCAAGTACATGGCACAGTGCAGCTGCTGATTGGAGGTTCCATGGCCTCCGTCTGTAAAATACACTTGTATTCTGTTGTATCTGTGTTCGTGCTGTCTCTTCCATCGACAATAAACAAGTCTTCAGTCAGAAATTATAAAGACTCGATCCAGACTTTGTCATCTTCTTCAGGTGGTGGAAGGAAGCGGGGCATTTGTCTGTAACATCTAGCGAACAGAAGACTTTATTTTTTAAACAAAAATGTTGTTTATTATTTTTTCAATGCCAAAACTGAGAAACTCAAGAGAATGCATATGGATCAGCCATGACAATCTGCCACAGCCCTGATTCCATTCAGGCTGTTAGTGATGAGAACTGGAACACACCAGCGTCCTCTTTTGATGGACATCATTGGAAACAATAGGATCACATAATTTGCGGACATCATTTGGAACTCAGGATTTCGAATTTGGACTCATTTGGAACTATCTGGATTTCTGAATTTGGACATCACTTGGTACTGAATTGAATTACTGAATCAGGACACTGAAGCTGAAAGTGTGATTGAAAGACACGTACAGAAGAATTCAAGGCTCGACCCAACACAAATGCAGCTGAAGAAATCAACACGGAGAAGTGGGATAGAATGTTTTCAAAGCAAAATTGTAGAACCATTGTGACTTATGAAGTATGTCTTTATACTGAGATTGTTGACAAGTATATGAAAAAGATCTTGAAATGATTTATGTGTTTACTGAGTTTTATGAAGTACCGAGTGTAAGTACCGAGTTTAAGAAATGAGTTTCATGATTATATGTAGCTGTTTATGAACCTGAATTTACACACGGAGAATGTATGACCAGAGGTGGGAATGAGAGAAATCATAACACTATTAAACACCTTTTGAATAAAGTTAATCATCATTCTAACAATGAGCAGAAGCCTTAACTATACACTTATGTTTTGTCCACAATTTTCTGAAGGCAGCTACAGCACAACGTGGAAGCTGCTGATTGAAGGTCTCATGCCTCCGCTCTGTATAATACACTTGTTCTGTTGTATCTGGATGTTCGTGGCTGTCTCTACCAACGACAAAACAAACATGTCTTCTTTCTGAATTAAAGAGCGATCCCAGACTTTGTCATATAAATCATGTGTTGGAGAAATGCGGGCATTGACAGTACAATTAGTAACAGAAGACTACTTATTTTTTAACACAAAAAAAGTGAATTATTATTAAAGCCAAAACTGAGAAAACCTCAAGAGAAACCAAGAGTCTGGACCATCACATTTACTACTCTGCACTTCCCAGATTCCCAGTAGGATGTGAAGCATCTGAGACCAGGACAATACCATCGTCCTCATTTGCATGGGACATCCTTTGGAACAATTGGATTACACACAATTAGGAAAAAATATGTACTGAATTAATTGCTGTAAAGGTACACATAAGCAGTAACAGAGTGATGAAAGAAACGTCCACAGAATGGAATACCATGTCTCAACACAATGCTAGCAGAAGAAACAAAAGAGAAGTGTGTGTAGATACAGATTACAAAGAAAATCTGTTAAACCACATCGACAGTATGAATAATTTTATTTTATGAAGATAGTAGAAAGTTTATGAAAGATCTGTAACAATTATTTAAATAGTTAATCTGAGTATTTGAAGAACGTTGAAGTACCGAGTTATATATTAAAAAGTATTTGAGTTATGATTATGATTCTTTTTATCGATCTGAAGTTGTCACATGTGGAATTGTTACCATAGGTGGGAATGAGATATTTATAAACTCTTTTAAACAACATATTTAAAAGTTAAACTCCAAATTCTATCAATATGAGAGCCAGTACAATACCATGTAATTGTCTATCATAAGGCCAAGCTACTGGCAACGAGTGAAGCAGCTTGAATTGGAGGTCACCATGCCACCCGCTCTTATTAATAACACTAGCATTCTGTATATTCGTGTTCTAAACATTACATAAAACATTACTACTGTCAGAAATTAAGACGCGAACCCAGACATTGTCATTTCTTCAGGTGGTGGAGGATGAGGGCCATGTCGTATCAACTATAGGTAAGTAAGGATAGCAATATTATTAAAGTTCATAAAATCAAAATTTTATATTATATACACACATTTATTAACAAAAAGATTGATCAAATCTTTATAAAGGAGGAGGGAGATCTCTAGTAGGCCATGCTGCCTCGCACAATCTAAAACACAGAACTTGTGATAAGCATTTGTTAGTCACTCCTAGAATTACATTTAAAGCCACCAGTGGAGATTGGGAGGAGGTGACAACAAACTACCTGATCACCATCGGAATCCCAGTAAGTTTCAAGTAAAAAACAGGCCGAAAAGAGACAAAAATCAACATTACACTTTTCTCAAAAAAATATGACTTAATGGAACCATATGTAAAAATTGGCCAAAGTTGTACATCAGTCCACAGACAATATTATTGAATTCCTCTTCACTCTCCTGGACTCAGGTTGCCAGATTCACCCCAAATCAGCAGCAACAAGGGTAATAATTTTATCAGATGTTTGGTCCTACACCATTCACAAATCCAAGACAGCCGTGCTAATTCTTGAATGAAAGAGATAAGATTAATTAATTTTTTTTTTATAATATGTACAAAAGAGATAAAAAAACAAAAAGGCAAAAAAAGCAATTTAATTATACAAGTTAATTGCAAAATAAATAAGTCAATTGCATGACAAAAAAGGCATAGGGAAGAAATGGCTTTAGGAAAACGTTAAATCATCCGGTATCACATCATGGTTAGTACAAGAGTCAAACCCCTATTCCAATTTTATTAAATCCCTATTTATTAGGACAAACATGTAAAAGAACCACAACCCCAAGATGAAAACATTATTTATATTGGGGTAAATGTGCGTCTAAATGAATATTATTACATTTAAGACTATAATCTGCAAAAAACGTCATTGACCTTAATCTTATTACCGTTTTTAGAGCAATCTGTCATGAATGTGAACATGCAATAAGATACAAAAATAATAGTCGCGGGATGAAACAAGGTTACTGCGTGTAAGCGCACAGTAAAGACCACTGACCAGGGGTTCCACGATCGAGACACTGACATAAATTGTTCAAGCCATCCCTTTATAAATCCTCGTTAAAGTCTTAGTTTATGTCATTAATGATTGAGATTACAATAACAAGGATTTTTTTGTTCTGCGCCACATGTTATTTTACCAATAAATATCAAATATAATCAAATATCTCGGCAGGTCATAGCTTGAAGGGTGAGGCAACTGGTATGAAATCCCCAAGGGCCAAGGGATGTCCACGTTAAAGGCGAGTGTGGAGTTGGTGTTTTCCTCCATCTGTCAAAAGCATTCCATACCATCGACTTTGACATTTTTCTGGGAAACTTGAGCATTATGGTGTCAGGGGCGTTGCCCTTGATTGGTTCAGAAGCGATCGATCTGAGAGAGAGCAATATGTACAAATGAACAGGTACAAATCTCTAAACAAAACTATCAAATGTGGGGCACCACAGGGTTCAATACTAGGACCATTCCTCTTCATCACATACATGACCTGACAAATTCAACTGAGATTTTACACAACATAGTTTTTCTCTCACAAAAACATGAAACAATGAAGAACTGATTAAAGTAGATATCTGGATAAAATATTAACGGCTTATTAACCGAGCAAGCGAGGTTAATAAATGTTTTATTATGACTCTCGTCTGTGTCTTTACCAACGCTTTTGAGATATTTGTGAAGTATGTTCATGTCCGACTTGGTTTTGTGTGATACGGGCTGTGGACCGATTGTCATGGTAACGGTCCGAGATGGGAAAATATCAGACCGGTAATCAACCAATCAGAGCGCGCGTACGGTCCAAGTCAAACAATATAATAAATTATCCCTAAATATGAATAAAACGCATTATATGACATTGTCTTCAAACAGAACTGGTAAAAATAAAGACATTTGTATTCAGATCAACGACAGGATCTTAGAAAGAGCTCAACAAACTAAATTCTTAGGCATCTATATCGATGACCTACATTTAAAAAACACTGATGAATTACCACAAAATGATCTAAATATTTATGTTTTATCAAATCAGACTCTGCCTCTGGAGGCACTCCTGGTCCTGTATACATCTTTATTGAACCACATCTAAATGACTGTAACAGAATATGGAGCAACACGTACCAAGATATTTACACAAAATACTCATTCTTCAAAAAAAGTCATTTGAGTCATTAAAAAAATAAACATAACATGGTCTGATTTCAGCGCTGCCTCAAATCCACTTTTTACAGATGAAGCTGAAAGTCACAGAGAGGAACATTCTGTACAGAGCTCTACACACACACACACACACCCCACTAGGACACACTGCTTCTACACACACACACCACACTAGGACACATTGCTTCTACACACACACACCACACTAGGACACATTGCTTCTACACACACACACACACTAGGACACACTGCTTCTACACACACACACACACTAGGACACACTGCTTCTACACACACACACACCACACTAGGACACACTGCTTCTACACTCACACACCACACTAGAAGGACACACTGCTTCTACACACACACACCACACTAGAAGGACACACTTCAACATTACACAACACTATGAGCCTCGGGCTGAGAACTGAAAACGGGAAAAGCAACTTCAGAAGTATTTATTGTTTTGTTTCCTGTATCATGATGAAGTGAATTATTATGGAGCACGTTTGCTGCGTTGGTTTCAATGTCTGACTCTAGACCTGAGGACCAGTCCCAGTCTGACTCTAGACCTGAGGACCAGTCCCAGTCTGACTCTAGACCTGAGGACCAGCCCCAGTCTGACTCTAGACCTGAGGACCAGTCCCAGTCTGACTCTAGACCTGAGGACCAGCCCCAGTCTGACTCTAGACCTGAGGACCAGTCCCAGTCTGACTCTAGACCTGAGGACCAGCCCAGTCTGACTCTAGACCTGAGGACCAGCCCCAGTCTGACTCTAGACCTGAGGACCAGTCCCAGTCTGACTCTAGACCTGAGGACCAGTCCCAGTCTGACTCTAGACCTGAGGACCAGTCCCAGTCTGACTCTAGACCTGAGGACCAGTCCCAGTCTGACTCTAGACCTGAGGACCAGTCCCAGTCTGACTCTAGACCTGAGGACCAGTCCCAGTCTGACTCTAGACCTGAGGACCAGTCCCAGTCTGACTCTAGACCTGAGGACCAGCCCCAGTCTGACTCTAGACCTGAGGACCAGTCCCAGTCTGACTCTAGACCTGAGGACCAGTCCCAGTCTGACTCTAGACCTGAGGACCAGTCCCAGTCTGACTCTAGACCTGAGGACCAGTCCCAGTCTGACTCTAGACCTGAGGACCAGTCCCAGTCTGACTCTAGACCTGAGGACCAGCCCAGTCTGACTCTAGACCTGAGGACCAGTCCCAGTCTGACTCTAGACCTGAGGACCAGTCCAGTCCCAGTCTGACTCTAGACCTGAGGACCAGCCCCAGTCTGACTCTAGACCTGAGGACCAGTCCCAGTCTGACTCTAGACCTGAGGACCAGTCCCAGTCTGACTCTAGACCTGAGGACCAGCCCAGTCTGACTCTAGACCTGAGGACCAGTCCCAGTCTGACTCTAGACCTGAGGACCAGTCCCAGTCTGACTCTAGACCTGAGGACCAGTCCCAGTCTGACTCTAGACCTGAGGACCCAGCCCAGTCTGACTCTAGACCTGAGGACCAGTCCCAGTCTGACTCTAGACCTGAGGACCAGCCCCAGTCTGACTCTAGACCTGAGGACCAGTCCCAGTCTGACTCTAGACATGAGGACCAGTCCCAGTCTGACTCTAGACCTGAGGACCAGTCCCAGTCTGACTCTAGACCTGAGGACCAGCCCCAGTCTGACTCTAGACCTGAGAACCAGTCCCAGTCTGACTCTAGACCTGAGGACCAGTCCCAGTCCCAGTCTGACTCTAGACCTGAGGACCAGCCCCAGTCTGACTCTAGACCTGAGGACCAGTCCCAGTCTGACTCTAGACCTGAGGACCAGTCCCAGTCTGACTCTAGACCTGAGGACCAGTCCCAGTCTGACTCTAGACCTGAGGACCAGTCCCAGTCTGTCTCTAGACCTGAGGAACAGTCCCAGTCTGACTCTAGACCTGAGGACCAGTCCCAGTCTGACTCTATACCTGAGGACCAGTCCCAGTCTGACTCTAGACCTGAGGACCAGTCCCAGTCTGACTCTAGACCTGAGGACCAGTCCCAGTCTGACGCTAGACCTGAGGACCAGTGCCAGTCTAGACCTGGACTCTAGACCTGAGGACCAGTCCCAGTCTGACTCTAGACCTGAGGACCAGTGCCAGTCTAGACCTGGACTCTAGACCTTAGGACCAGTCCCAGTCTGACTCTAGACCTGAGGACCAGTGCCAGTCTAGACCTGAGGACCAGTCCCAGTCTGACTCTAGACCTGAGGACCAGTCCCAGTCTGACTCTAGACCTGAGGACCAGTCCCAGTATGATTCTAGACCTGAGGACCAGTCCCAGTCTGACTCTAGACCTGAGGACCAGTCCCAGTCTGACTCTAGACCTGAGGACCAGTCCCAGTCTGACTCTAGACCTGAGGACCAGTCCCAGTCTGACTCTAGACCTGAGGACCAGTCCCAGTCTGACTCTCCCTCAGTGTGAAGACCCGCTCCTGGTGTCTTCAGTAGATTCTACATTCATGCTGTTTATTTACAAAGTGCCACAGAACCACAGTCTTTGATGAAGGACGAGACACAGCACTGTCTTAACAACATGGGTTCAAGTCTCACCTCTGATCTTCAGGACCATCTTCTCTGAAGTTTGGAACAAGTCCTTTGGACAGGTCACTTTTCAGAGACTGAGAGCTGGGAGCAGGTCCAGGTCTGGGTCCAGGTCTGGGTTTAGACCCGGGGCCAGATCCTCGTGGGTCCATGTTGTAGAGGCTGGAATCAGAACCAGAGTCACTTTGTTTCATGATATTGCTCTGTCCTGGACACAGTGCAGCAGGAGGAGACAGGAGGGTCCTGGTCTCACTCACATCTGGTCTCTCTCTGGTCTCTCTCTGGTCTCTCTCTGGTCTCTCTCTGGTCCCTCTCTGGTCTCTCTCTGGTCCCTCTCTGGTCTGTCTCTGGTCTCTCTCTGGTCTCTCTCTCTGGTCTCTCTCTCTGGTCTCTTTCTGGTCTCTCTCTGGTCTCTCTCTGGTCCCTCTCTGGTCCCTCTCTGGTCTCTCTCTCTGGTCTCTCTCTGGTCTCTCTCTCTGGTCTCTCTCTCTGGTCTCTCTCTCTGGTCTCTCTCTGGTCTCTCTCTGGTCTCTCTCTGGTCTCTCTCTCTGGTCCCACACTAGGACACACTGCTTCTACACACACACACCACACTAGAAGGACACACTGCTTCTACACACACACACCACACTAGGACACACTGCTTCTACACACACACACCACACTAGAAGCTTCTACACACACACACCACACTAGAAGGACACACTTCAACATTACACAACACTATGAGCCTCGGGCTGAGAACTGAAAACGGGAAAAGCAACTTCAGAAGTATTTATTGTTTTGTTTCCTGTATCATGACTCTAGACCTGAGGACCAGTCCCAGTCTGACTCTAGACCTGAGGACCAGTCCCAGTCTGACTCTAGACCTGAGGACCAGTCCCAGTCTGACTCTAGACCTGAGGACCAGTCCCAGTCTGACTCTAGACCTGAGGACCAGTCCCAGTCTGACTCTAGACCTGAGGACCAGTCCCAGTCTGACTCTAGACCTGAGGACCAGCCCCAGTCTGACTCTAGACCTGAGGACCAGTCCCAGTCTGACTCTAGACCTGAGGACCAGCCCCAGTCTGACTCTAGACCTGAGGACCAGTCCCAGTCTGACTCTAGACCTGAGGACCAGCCCCAGTCTGACTCTAGACCTGAGGACCAGTCCCAGTCTGACTCTAGACCTGAGGACCAGCCCCAGTCTGACTCTAGACCTGAGGACCAGTCCCAGTCTGACTCTAGACCTGAGGACCAGCCCCAGTCTGACTCTAGACCTGAGGACCAGTCCCAGTCTGACTCTAGACCTGAGGACCAGCCCCAGTCTGACTCTAGACCTGAGGACCAGCCCCAGTCTGACTCTAGACCTGAGGACCAGCCCCAGTCTGACTCTAGACCTGAGGACCAGTCCCAGTCTGACTCTAGACCTGAGGACCAGTCCCAGTCCCAGTCTGACTCTAGACCTGAGGACCAGCCCCAGTCTGACTCTAGACCTGAGGACCAGTCCCAGTCTGACTCTAGACCTGAGGACCAGTCCCAGTCTGACTCTAGACCTGAGGACCAGTCCCAGTCTGACTCTAGACCTGAGGACCAGTCCCAGTCTGTCTCTAGACCTGAGGACCAGTCCCAGTCTGACTCTAGACCTGAGGACCAGTCCCAGTCTGACTCTAGACCTGAGGACCAGTCCCAGTCTGACTCTAGACCTGAGGACCAGTCCCAGTCTGACTCTAGACCTGAGGACCAGTCCCAGTCTGACTCTAGACCTGAGGACCAGTCCCAGTCCCAGTCTGACTCTAGACCTGAGGACCAGCCCCAGTCTGACTCTAGACCTGAGGACCAGTCCCAGTCTGACTCTAGACCTGAGGACCAGTCCCAGTCTGACTCTAGACCTGAGGACCAGTCCCAGTCTGACTCTAGACCTGAGGACCAGTCCCAGTCTGTCTCTAGACCTGAGGAACAGTCCCAGTCTGACTCTAGACCTGAGGACCAGTCCCAGTCTGACTCTAGACCTGAGGACCAGTCCCAGTCTGACTCTAGACCTGAGGACCAGTCCCAGTCTGACTCTAGACCTGAGGACCAGTCCCAGTCTGACTCTAGACCTGAGGACCAGTCCCAGTCTGTCTCTGGACCTGAGGAGCAGCCCCAGTCTGACTCTAGACCTGAGGACCAGTCCCAGTCTGACTCTAGACCTGAGGACCAGTCCCAGTCTGACTCTAGACCTGAGGACCAGTCCCAGTCTGACTCTAGACCTGAGGACCAGTCCCAGTCTGACTCTAGACCTGAGGACCAGTCCCAGTCTGACTCTAGACCTGAGGACCAGTCCCAGTCTGACTCTAGACCTGAGGACCAGTCCCAGTCTGACTCTAGACCTGAGGACCAGTCCCAGTGTGACTCTCCCTCAGTGTGAAGACCCGCTCCTGGTGTCTTCAGTAGATTCTACATTCATGCTGTTTATTTACAAAGTGCCACAGAACCACAGTCTTTGATGAAGGACGAGACACAGCACTGTCTTAACAACATGGGTTCAAGTCTCACCTCTGATCTTCAGGACCATCTTCACTGAAGTCTGGAACAAGTCCTTTGGACAGGTCACTTTTCAGAGACTGAGAGCTGGAGCAGGTCCAGGTCTGGGTCCAGGTCTGGGTTTAGACCCGGGGCCAGGTCCTCGTGGGTCCATGTTGTAGAGGCTGGAACCAGAACCAGAGTCACTTTGTTTCATGATATTGCTCTGTCCTGGACACAGTGCAGCAGGAGGAGACAGGAGGGTCCTGGTCTCACTCACATCTGGTCTCTCTCTGGTCTCTCTCTGGTCTCTCTCTCTGGTCTCTCTCTGGTCTCTCTCTGGTCTCAGTCTCTCTCTGGTCTCTCTCTGGTCTCTCTCTCTGGTCTCTCTCTGGTCTCTCTCTGGTCTCTCTCTCTGGTCTCTCTCTGGTCTCTCTCTGGTCTCAGTCTCTCTCTGGTCTCTCTCTGGTCTCTCTCTCTGGTCTCTCTCTCTGGTCTCTCTCTCTGGTCTCTCTCTCTGGTCTCTCTCTCTGGTCTCTCTCTCTGGTCTCTCTCTGGTCTCTCTCTGGTCTCTCTCTGGTCTCTCTCTGGTCTCTCTCTCTGGTCTCTCTCTGGTCTCTCTCTCTGGTCTCTCTCTCTGGTCTCTCTCTGGTCTCTCTCTGGTCTCTCTCTGGTCTCTCTCTGGTCTCTCTCTGGCCTCTCTCTGGCCTCTCTCTGTCTCTCCCTGGTCTCTCTCTGGTCTCTCTCTGGTCTCTCTCTGGTCTCTCTCTGGTCTCTCTCTTGTCTCTCTCTGGTCTCTCTCTGGTCTCTCTCTGGTCTCTCTCTGGTCTCTCTCTGGTCTCTCTCAGGTCTCTCTCTGGTCTCTCTCTGGTCTCTCTCTGGTCTCTCTCTGGTCTCTCTCTGGTCTCTCTCTGGTCTCTCTCTGGTCTCTCTCTGGTCTCTCTGTGGTTAGAATGTATGGTGAAAGTACAAGTACTGTAGAGCAGTACTCGAGTACATGCAGGAGAAAACAGACGACACAGACTTTTGTAATAATAATAATGAGAGGATTTAAAGCTGTCGTACCTGGTGTGAGCCGACCATAAACACACAGAGACCAGGAGGAGCAGGAGACCAGGTGTTCACTCTGACAAACACACAGAGACCAGGAGGAGCAGGAGACCAGGTGTTCACTCTGACAAACACACAGAGACCAGGAGGAGCAGGAGACCAGGTGTTCACTCCGACAAACACACAGAGACCAGGAGGAGCAGGAGACCAGGTGTTCACTCCGACAAACACACAGAGACCAGGAGGAGCAGGAGACCAGGTGTTCACTCCGACAAACACACAGAGACCAGGAGGGAGCAGGAAACCAGGTGTTCACTCCGACAAACACACATAGACCAGGAGGAGCAGGAGACCAGGTGTTCACTCCGACAAACACACAGAGACCAGGAGGAGCAGGAGACCAGGTGTTCACTCCGACAAACACACAGAGACCAGGAGGAGCAGGAGACCAGGTGTTCACTCCGACAAACACACAGAGACCAGGAGGAGCAGGAGACCAGGTGTTCACTCCGACTAACACACAGAGACCAGGAGGAGCAGGAGACCAGGTGTTCACTCCGACAAACACACAGAGACCAGGAGGAGCAGGAGACCAGGTGTTCACTCTGACAAACACTCACCAGGAGGAGCAGGAGACCAGGTGTTCACTCTGACTAACACACAGAGACCAGGTGGAGCAGGAGACCAGGTGTTCACTCTGACAAACACACAGAGACCAGGAGGAGCAGGAGACCAGGTGTTCACTCCGACAAACACACAGAGACCAGGTGGAGCAGGAGACCAGGTGTTCACTCCGACTAACACACAGAGACCAGGTGGAGCAGGAGACCAGGTGTTCACTCTGACAAACACACAGAGACCAGGTGGAGCAGGAGACCAGGTGTTCACTCTGACAAACACACAGAGACCAGGTGGAGCAGGAGACCAGGTGTTCACTCCGACAAACACACAGAGACCAGGTGGAGCAGGAGACCAGGTGTTCACTCCGACAAACACACAGAGACCAGGTGGAGCAGGAGACCAGGTGTTCACTCTGACAAACACACGTTAATGATCAAAGATAAAGTTTAAAACCATGGAGAGGAAGAGCAGGATGAGCCGCTCTGGGCACATTCCAAACAACTCAGGTGACTTCAGCTGCGTTCTCTCTCTGGCCACTCCCTAGTCTCTGGTCTCTTCCTGGTCTCTCTCTGGTCACTCCCTAGTCTCTGGTCTCTTCCTGGTCTCTCTCTGGTCACTCCCTAGTCTCTGGTCTCCTCCTGGTCTCTCTCTGGCCTCTCTCTAGTCTCTGGTCTCCTCCTGGTCTCTCTCTGGCCTCTCTCTAGTCTCTGGTCTCCTCCTGGTCTGTCTCTGGTCTCTCTCTCCTCCTGGTCTCTCTCTGGCCTCTCCCTAGTCTCTGGTCTCCTCCTGGTCTCTCTCTGGCCTC